GATAAAAAGGTAATACCATCTGGTAATTGCCTAGATGGTCTTATGGAACACCTCATTTTGACAGAGTCTGTTGCAACCTGTAGTAATTATAGTGAAAGTGGTTGCTAGTGTGGAATTGAAAAGAGAAAGCATACCTGCCTGGACAACACTCGCCACAGAGTGGGATCCAGTGAAAAATAAAAAGGTCCCTGAAAAAAAAAACGACTGAGAAAGTACTCACCCCTGGTTAAAATCTAACAGATGTGGTCAAAATAGCAATCATGGGTAGTCGAAAACCTTCAGAAGAGTAAACTGCCAGATCATGTAAGTAATGAGATAGGCAAGTATTAGGAGTAGTTCCCATACCAACTCACACAATGTCTTCCAGAGGGCAATTCACTCAGGTGGCTAATGACATAGAGATATGACGAATCTGGTGAGAAGTAACAGCAAAAGATTCTTTTCCTGTAACAATAATCCATTATAGTCAATGTAAATCAATTTATGAAGCCACCATGTTAAGGTAATGGAAAATAAGTCATGCGAAATAGAAGGATTCCAATGAATGAACAACCAATTTCTACTACCTCGAAATGAGTTAGTATAAGGCACATAACACTCGAGGGTCGTAATAGGACATAACAAACAATCAGGATCTTGGTAGTTATAAAGATGAGAAATGGCTGGCAAATGAATTGGTGAGAAGGATCTTTCCCCTTCCCTAGCTGCCAGTATTTGGAAGTAAAGACCTGTTGGGGTAAAGCAGGACAAATGTGGAATGATAAAGAGTCCGATGCACATGGATTGCAAACAACTCTGACCAACAACGTCCACAAGCCAACAACAACAAAAAATACAACTTAAGAGAAAGGTGAAACAAAGAACATGATGCTAAAGGCTCAAAGGGAGGATGAGACAATGTATGTAAAACAACTGTAAAATCCCAATTTGGTAATTGAAAAGGTCGTTTGGGTTGAAGAATATGAAAAGATATGAGTAGACCTGATAGTACTGAGGATTCAAAAAACCTTCAGATATTAAGAATACCGAAAAATAGTTGATAAGGATGCCTTATACAAAGTTATTGTAGACAAAGAAAGACCCCTCTCAAATACCCAAGTCAGAAAACAGGATACGGTAGATACTTTAGGATGAAGATGGTTTAAATTCCTTTTAATACACCAGTGATAATAAGTATTCCCTTTCCAGGTATAAATGTCAGTGGATGCCCTATGGAGAGATTTAGATAAATACAGAGAAACCTTAGAAGTAAAACCCTTATGTCGGACAAAGGATTGCATAACTTCCAAGTAGGAAGATTGAGTTTCTGAAACATCTGGATGGAGAATGTCTGATCAAGGTTGCCTCAGCAGACTGCCAATGTGGAAGAGATAAAGGTGGACATTCCTACAGATATCGAAGTAGCAGACACCACGTTTGAGGTGGCCATATGGTACAGCTAAGAGAAGTTGACAGGGAGTGGAATGAACCATAGTCAGAACCTGGTACAATAACTGAATTGGGGGAAAGGCATATAGATGCAAACCTGTCCAGTCCTGACTGGATGCATCTACTGCAAATGACTGAGGATGAGGTATAGGAGATCAAAACAACTACAGTTGAGAATTCCAATAAGTTGCAAAGGCATCAATCATTGGAGACTCAAACTGAAGAGCAAATCCACTGAAAAACTTGTGATGTAGCATCAATTCCGTTGGAAGAATCCAGTTGGGTCAATTAAATTCATCACTCCTGGAACATAACATGCTAAAAGACTGATATGATGAGCATAAGCCCAGTAGAGAAGATTCAAGGTACAAAAACAAAGGTCTTGAGAATGTGTGCCTCCTTGACAAGAAATCTGAGAAACCACCGGGGAATTGTCAGAATGTATCATGACAACTTTTCTCCCTCAAGAGAGACAGACCTTGAACCATTGCCCGGAGTACTGCAAGGAGTTTGAGAATACTGATATGAAGGGTAGACTCGTCTTCTGTCCAAATACCCTGGAACTCCTGATCTTGAAGTAAAGCTTTCCATACCCGAAGAGATGCATCTGTAAACAGATGGATCTTGGGATGAGGTGGCGGAATGGGTACGCCAATAGTAGTATTGTTCCGATCCAACCACCATTTGCAATCAACAATGTTGCTCCTGAGTAATGAGACAGGATGATCAAAAGGGTTGGAATGCATGATCCATTGGTGTCCAGTGAAGAGACCTCATATGTGCTAATCCCAAAGGAGTGAGAGGCTCAAGGGATGCCTACATCCCCAAAAGAGAGAGAGAGAACCATCCATTCAGTAGGAGAAGGAGACAGAAGTAAAAGCTTGATGGCTCTTTCCATGGCTTGTAACCTGATAGGGGTTGGATGAGCTTGATTTAAGTGAGTATTGAAAAACCACATCCAGATGGACGAGATATTGCGTTGGTAACAGAATAGATTTTTCCAGTCTGATAAGAAAGCCTGCTTTTGTGGCTTCTGAAAGGAGAATCTGAGAGTGTTGATCTGCTAATCGACAGGATGTTGCAGGAAGGAGCCAGTGATCCGTATAATGATGTGGAGAATGGAGATGATGAGAAAAAGCTTGTACAACTCTGCAGAAGACATAAGGTGCTGATACAAGACCAAAAAATAAAGCCCTGAACTGTAGGACCTGACCCTTGTGCACAAATCTGAGAAATCTCTGGGAAGATTCTGCTATGGGAATATGGAGATAAGTGTCGATAACATCGACCTTGATCATCCAGAACCCTAGGGCAAAGTGCCATTGTAGGTTGAGAAAAGAGTCCATAGTAAAGTGAGGAGGATCTAAAAATTGGTTGAGTCGAAACAAATCAATGATTGGACACCAATCTCTTGTCTTCTTGGGAACAACAAATAAATGGGAATAAAATCCTGGATGAACTGGATAGACCCTCTCTACTGCCTTTTTGATTAACAATTCTCTTATGGCCTGGGAACGAAGCTACACTCGTAATGGATCTGTTGGAGGTGAAAAGTCAACAGGTTGAGCAGATAATGGTGAAGGTGATGTAAATTGAATGACAAACCCTGAATCTAGAACATGAAGTACACATGGATCCCTGGTGAAAAAGCTCCAGATGTCCAGACAGTGATGTAAGCGTGCTCCTACTGCTCCCCTGCCCACAGGATAGTTACCGACACTGTTGTCGACTGTCTGTCTCAATCGAAGATCCTCGAGAATACGGAAGGACTCTATTATGGGAACCAATAGACTTGGGAATCGAAGGAGGAGGTTAGGAAACACTACGAGCCAACACTCTTAAATTTGCACCAGAAAGGTGATAAGCTAACAATGATAAAGAAGAATGTAAATGAGCTGAATCAATTCGAGATTCCAACGTCTCTGGAACTCCAGCAAACCACATGGGATGGAGAAAAGGAGCTTTCCATAACTCCCTGAGGGCAGAAGATGGTACTCAGTAAATCCCAACAACAAAACAGCCAAGAAATCAGAGGAAAAACTGAAGAAGACAATCTGACTGAAGTAGATGTCAGCAAAGTCCCCTACTCAAATTGCTGAGGGGAATGTTGAATGTCTTCCAACAAAAGTTGGATCAAAAATAAATACCTCAGGACAGTAGTGACAGTAAAACAATTCTGAGAAAACTTTGATCTGTTCAAAGTAATCACAGGTTCCAATCTAGAACCTCACAGGTCCAAAATATACCTCCTCCTAGTGGTGAACACCAAAGCATGCTGTTTGGATAAACTTGGAAGACAAGGCATAGCAATCCCATCTTGTAACTGAGCAGCAAATCTCCCAGCATGAACAGCAATATCAAAAGTAGGAGGAAAAACCATGTAGTTACTAGCCATCCTTTTCACCAAAAAGGAAGGAGTAAGGTCAAATGCAATAGGAGAGACCCCCAAAACCTCACAAACCCAAGTAACTAACTGAAAAAAAAAAAGGGGATGGAGATGGCTGATCAAGAGGATTCTTTGTTGAGGCCAACCTAGTTAAAGGAGCTGGAAAAAGCGAGTGTAAATTCTCTCCAATTGATTCCGAGTAATTTGCAAAAGCTGCCTCAGAACTCCCTGGAATGACAACTTTGGTCTGCATATATGTCTCAAACCCCCTAACAGATCATATCATGGACAGCCTCAATTGAGAGTGACCCCTCCTCTGGCCATTGAAAAACATCAGATAGCAGAGTTGGAAGAGAAAAGGTCTAGTTGACTCTGTTGTAGAAACATTAATTCGGACATTTATACCCATTGTTGCTGTATTTTTAATTAATTAGTTTATAAATATAAGCAAAGATACAACCATAGTCACATCAATTACGTTCCAAAGTCACAACGTGAATTATGTGAATAATCACAACCCTTCTGTTTATAGAAACCCGTGCTAAATGCTTTGTCAAGAAAAAGTGATTATATATATATTTTTTAATTTGCGAGTTATGGGGGCAGCCATCAGCAGATGATATGCCCCCAAATTCCCTGATCTGATTTAGTTGAACTAGATACCTTCATCACTGCCATTTA